AAAAAAATTGACCCCGGATATCGATGCTTCTCGACCTTGCGGTTCTTCTCAACTTTTTTTCGCGTGTCAACTCTCAAAAACAAGCGAGAAAAAGTGGGGGTCATGTTATGGAAAAATTTAACCGGACGGACTCTATATAGTATTCTAGATAGATAGAATATATAAGACACAACTTAATGTAGATAGAATATATATCTATCAAGCGAAAAAGGTTGTTCTACTCGGCGCTGCCGAGGTAAGGGTGCAGGGCCCTGCCTGCGGGGCTGTACTCGGGGTAATACGTGCCATTTCGGGACAATACGCGGCGTTTCGGGGTAATTTCGGGGTAATGTTCGCCCAGAAACGGCCAATCTCACCAAAAAAAAATTGACCCCGGATATCGATGCTTCTCGACCTTGCGGTTCTTCTCAACTTTTTTTCGCGTGTCAACTCTCAAAAACAAGCGAGAAAAAGTGGGGGTCATGTTATGGAAAAATTTAACCGGACGGACTCTATATAGTATTCTAGATAGATAGAATATATAAGACACAACTTAATGTAGATAGAATATATATCTATCAAGCGAAAAAGGTTGTTCTACTCGGCGCTGCCGAGGTAAGGGTGCAGGGCCCTGCCTGCGGGGCTGTACTCGGGGTAATACGTGCCGTTTCGGGACAATACGCGGCGTTTCGGGGTAATTTCGGGGTGATGTTCGCCCAAAAACGGCCATTCTCACAAAAAAAAAAATTGACCCCGGATATCGATGCTTCTCGACCTTGCGGTTCTTCTCAACTTTTTTTCGCGTGTCAACTCTCAAAAACAAGCGAGAAAAAGTGGGGGTCATGTTGTGGGAAAATTTAACCGGACGGACTCCACTGTTTTGTTTGCTGATTGATTTCGAAAGTCTCTTAACATGTCAAACTTTGGAAGCAACTCGCTCCAATTTTCGGTGCCAGTAGTTTCCAAACTTTCAAACTTCCAAAAAATCCTCGGCCGCAAATCGAGGTTCTATGGCGGATGGATTTGGAACTTTGGAATTGTGTGAAATTTGGAAGTAAAATTGCAGCTAGCTACTGCTTCAAACGCCCCTCGCCGGTGTAATGGGGTGGCCGGGTAGGTAACAAATGGTGAGGGGGTTGTCTCGGGTTGTGTCAGCCGGCTAGAAGCTCGAAAGGGTAAAAGAAAAGAGGAAGATTGATCACTGAATGGATGCAGTAGGGCACAACCCGAGGACATCTGAATCTGCGAGTCGCACGTTAATTAACTTCAACAAAGGACGCACACATAGGACAGATCATGAGCTAGCTCACCTATGTCCTGCAAATCAGCGTGGGGGAACCTTCAACCTGCTCCGATCACCCATGTCATACAGACCACTTCGGAGAAACACGTCTCCGATCATTTACGTCTTACTTACGGATCGCTCCGACCAAACATGCTCATATCACGTATGTCCTTCCGGTCACCAGCGAGCGATCATAGTCAGATCACCTATCTATGTATGTCCTTCAGATCACCAGGGACAAAACATTCTCAGATCATTCATGTCCTATTCGATTCCAACCGGCATTCCGTCCAAAAGAGCTAGCTCGATCTGTAGGAATCTGATCTGTCCTACATGTATGTGTGAATCTCGTTGTCCGTGGTTTTTATATCTTTTGCGGGTGTCAAGCGGTGGAAGGGGGGCGAGGAAAGGAAAATTGGCAACCACGTTGTCAGATAGCATGACTATCCTTCGCAAGCAGACTTACCAACAAACCATGGCATTGCAAACGAAGGGCAATAGAAACATGGCTAAAAACTTCCTTGTTTCGAGTTTCACCCACTGCTCAAGCTTTGCCATAACGAACGAACGTTGTCAAACATCGAGGATCGGCGATTTTTATCCCCGGCTGTTTGGGGTTATTACCGGTAGGTTACGCGGTTGGATCCGGGCGATGGGCATCCTTACAATGGAACGTGCTCAGAAACGCTAAGAAAACTGTCAAAGTTTGGTGATGATGCGAAATGGAAGAAGTAGCAAAATATACGACAGAACCCTCGGGCACGTTGGAAGAGTAGGGTTCTTAAAAGCGTTCCGACCACATCGGACCGGGAGTCCACTGACGGCCAACCACCATACTACAGACAGACGGGTTTACGGACCTTCCCCTTGTGCCACTTGCTGGCCTGGGCATGTGGGCCGGCGAACCACTACCAACAACATATTCGCCTGATTGAGAGCGTAGCATCTGATTGAGAGCGAGATTGCGCGATACGCTGTAGCCGGACTACCACTGAGAGGTGGAGCTTGCTGTGTAGCTTGAATTGAAGGGCTAGCCCGTAGCTTCAAGCCGCTACCCTGGTCATCCTGTGGGAGTCTCTCGTTGTGGAGCTACAGCGGGGAGCAGAAGCTACAGCAGAGCCCACCGCCCGACGCGATACCGCCCTGAAACAGTTTGAGCAGAAATAGCCAATCTGGGCAAATCTAGCAACTTGTCTAGCTCCTCGCTGCAGCATCCGATGACGATGACACGCATATGCTCGCGAAGCTGCTGATGAGACCTTCAATTTGCACCGCTTCTTGGAATAGCCCGTCCCCTACTTGCCAAGAAATGGCAAGAGGCGTCTGGACCCGAAATTTCAATTTTTTTGGCTCTCGCTCTCAATCAGATACTTCGCTCTCAATCAGGCGAATATGTTGCTTACCGCCGTAGCACCGCCTCGCCCCCACTCTCTTTCTGTACCTTCTCTCCTTGCCCAAATACAAACGAAGAAAACTTGCCTGCCTTGTCTAGGGGGCGAAAGATACTACGACCCTGGGATCCTTCTACAACGTCAACTGCGGAAGGAGCCTATGTGTTCATTGGCGTGACCGCGTACGTCTAATTATTTTTTCCCGGTCACCTTAGAACATGGGGTATTTTCACCAATCAACTACAGCGAGTGCGTGCCCGTCGTTGAGGAATGCTTCGTTTGGAAACAAAGCCTCCGTATACATATTTCTCGACAAGTGAGGAGTTTAGACACCACCTGTGTTGCTCCCGATGGGAAAAATCGCCGTTTTAGGACAAAACTTGTCCTGGCGCGTGCCTCCCCTGGACCTCATCGAGAGGAAACACACGTTTGTCTCAAGGACTCGACACACAAGTCGGCTCAAAAAGTATCCATCGACTTGTGGGTTTTGGTTGCCACATGTGTACTTGCTGCCAAGTGCTGGCCAGTTTGGATCACTCTACAAAATATTTTATCACGGGCCCTCAAGTCCGTAGTAACCGATCTCCTGAATTGTTAAGATACGTTCGAAGGTAGACTCATTTGGTGTTGCCATTTGCGGATCAAAGGTTAGCGGCAAGGAGTTGAATCGCCGCCTGAATAATACACTGAGAGGTGCCCATGTGGCAATACGTGAGAAACGTAAGAATGCTCACTAGACTATTCGCTGTCGTTGCAGTCCTCTTCGTGGCCTCCTTTGTCACCAAGTTGTTGATATCGATGCCGTTTTCGCTGCCGTCGTGCCCATCGTCGTCGTTACTGTCGTCGTCGCTAGCGTTATCGTGACTGGACTCAGCGCAGCCAACGTCTTCTTCTGCGGTACTGGTGGCGCAGTCCTTGTTGTCGGATGATGTCGGTATCTCCGTTGTGAGAAGCGGGGACCACTCGGCATTGTTTTCCCTGTTGGGCGTATTTGCGCGAGGTCTTGAAATGTTGGACATAGAAACGTCGACAAGATGTGTCGGGCGGAGCAGGAGTGACAAAGAAGACGGGAAAAACAATGGAGAAGACAAGACTAGTCTTCTAATGGTTTAAATGGGCATGGTGCGTCTAGAAACATATAGAAGAAAACTCACCGGTATCCCGATAGAGATGGCCAAGGGTGCGACCACTGTTTGGCGTTAGAGAGCCGATGCCTTTGGTGGCGTGAGCAAGCAATAAAGTGAATACTCCCGGGATCATTTGGTATTATTGATGCGACTATACCTTACCATTGCAAGAAACCGCACGGGCTGCTGCCGGTTTGCCAGGAGACGATGGGTCCCGACCGGTTGAACTCAAGAGGACTGGGTAAATTCTTCTGAAGACTGTTGGGCAGACACGAGCTCGAGTATGACGAGCTCGTGGCCGCTCAACAGATGCCAGAAGAGATCTACCCCCTCCTCTTGCGCTTCAACCGGTCGGGACCCATCGTCCGCATGGACCCGAATATATATAGACTATGGGTCGCCCGGGTGAAACACAAGCTGCAAGCCGACCTCGCACGGTTCGTTTTCTTACAAGTATCACAAGATCGCTCTGAATTAACTTTGCGACACTGAAGTGGTAATAATTGTCGAGGACCCTCCCACAGGCATCTTGATTGATTTTTCTTTGGAGCCAGGGTATTGACCCAATAAAATACATACCATTCGAAAGCTACGGACCAGGGCTTTCGAATGAACCTATACATACTTTTAGCTTTCACAGACATGTTGGTGACGAGTTGTGTCCAATATACCGTTTCGCTGAAAACGCGGTGGAACTGTAAATCTCGATTTCCCGGGCCCCCACCACCTCTGTGAAAAAAATTTACCGGTATATAATTTTTTGGAATCCTCGCCAAAAGTTGGCTCTAGATTACCTGGTTCTGAACCCGGTTTTGCCGGGCTCCAGGTCGAAATCAATCAAGAAGAAAATTTCAAAAAATATGCGGCCCGACCGTTGGTTTGGGCAGCAGCTGACACCGCACATGGGAGGTGTACACATGTTGTTGTGAAGACTGGCAACCGAATGGAGCTCGAGCAAGAGATGATCTCCGCCCTACAGCAGTCAGTCAAGCTGCGCAACACACTCAGCATCGATAGACAGAAGCCACAAAAGTACCGTGTAGTGCTGTACGCGAGGTCGGGCGACAGCGCTGAGTTGAAATGGCGGAGCGGCTGGATCACGTCTGGAAAACCACGCGGCCGCGTTGCCATCGCGGAGAGAAGCATCCTCGACAATGTTACTGCTGTTGACTGGGAGGCCCTTCAAAAAAAGAGCTCATCCGATGCATCCGATGCGCCCATGGAGAGCGCACCTCCGCGGGAGAGCGTAGTTAGAACCGCAGCCCCGGCCATCGGTTCACTGCAAGAACCTGGTCTTGCAGGTGCGGGAAGATCGCGAGATCCAAACTGGGACGGACGACGTGACTACGCCGGACGACCCTTTGGATCGTTGGGGAGGGCTGCCCAGCGGGCGCGGGCGCTGAGACTGCGCCAAGAACTACAGGACGCCGTTCCTGGGGCGTTCAACCTGTCTGCCAGCAGCCTGGAAGAAGTCGTGCGGGCTTGGATAGAGTTCGAACCTGAGTGGGCCGAGGACGCGAAGAAGAAATATCTAAACAAGGGCACGTACAATACATCTCAAGCCGCGAAGAAGATAAGGCGTGTGATAGGGGCGGAGATGAGAGCCCAGTTGCTCGCGGCAGCGGCGGACGAGTTTCGCGCTGAGAGTGTGGAGACGCTCGACCTCGTCGTGAAGGATGAGGCGAAGTCGATCAGCGCATTTTATGATCAACGTGTGATTCTTTTCTTCTTCAGAATGCCGTGCTCGAACCTGGGTCTACACTGTGATTTGCACTGCTGTTTTAGTTGTCAACAGGGCTTGGTTGGGGCTGAGTTTGTAGGGCGCCACCACCCCCTCCGAGCTCCGGCTGCGACCGCCAGCGTAATTTATTGACCAACCTGCATTCTCAGCTAAAAAAAATACACTCGAAACACTGCTGTCAGAAACACCGCTGTCAAACAAATCGGCTACTGAAAATGGAAAGATTTATTGCCGCCCTCGACACTTCCCCTTCGCGCAGGACACCAACACGGCAGAGAGCGTTTTGTCCAACTACATGCTGGCGCACATGGTCCAGGTGGCCATGACATTGATCTAGCTGTACACCCAGCAGCTCAACGGGGTCGACCGGAAGGATGCACCGGCCATCGCAGCAGAGGTTGGACGGAGGAGTGCCCCAACAGTACAGCTGTGGGAGCGGGATTTCATCGCGTGCGGGCGCATCAAGCCACCTGACACAGGTCGCTTCAAGCGCCTGTTTTTGCTGGAACTCGACGAAGGCGTCTCGAGGCTCGCGAAAGGCTGGGCGCTCGAGTACTGCGGGATACTCAGCGGGCAAGCCAACAAGACGGCGGAGGATTTCCGCAAGTGGGTGAACAGCACCATCATGCCGATTCTGGAGGCGCAACAAACGGAGGACTTCGACCCTTTTCATGGATTGAGAATAAACCTGGTGGAAGGGAAGGAGAACGAGCCGCCTAGGCACCAAATCTCCCTTTCCACGGCAACAGAGTGGCTGAAGAAGATGGGATGCGAATACCACGACGGCAAAAAGGGTCTATACTTCGATGGCCACGACGACGAGAACACCCTAGCGTACCGGCACGACGAGTTCCTGTCGGCGCTGTTTGAGACCCGCGACTACAGGAAGGTGTGGACTCCAATGGGCAAAGAGGAAGCGGTCGCCTGGGGCATTGGCGTTGATGCGGTGGAGGAGTCTGAGCGCTTGCCGGATTGCGGTGTCTGGGTTGGTGTCGATGATCTCGAGGCAGCGCTGGAAGACTTGCCCGCAGACCTGCAAGCCAGAGTGCAGAGCAAGAAAACCTACCCCGAAGTGAGGCGGGCCATGCTTCTCTACCAGGACGAAAGAATATTTCGAGGTTAGTCTATCTAATTTACACAGAGAAAGTTGGCGCGACTGATTTGTAAATTTATTCCGGACGTGAATAGCAATTTTGCACGCAATTCAATATAATTTCGGGGCTGTGACCACAGAGATGTTGACAATGCCACACCTGTCGCCCAAAATTATCGGTGTCCTTTTCGAATTTGCAGCCAACGATGACCATAGGTACGCGTGGTATCGGGACGGCCAGCACGTGCCCGTCAAGACGTCACAAGGCCAGGGGATCATGGTGTCGGGGACGATCATCCACAACCTCGGCTTCTTCTCTGCATCGCGGGAACAGATCAAGGAAGCGGAGCGCAACCGCAGGAAACGATGCGCTGCCTCAGTTGCCGCGAAGCGGCGGGGGGAAAAGGTGAAAGTCGAGAAGTTCCGCCCTATCGACATGCTGCACAAAGACGAGCACGGACGGTACTGGTCCTACGACCTCTTCGAGTACGGCAAGAACGAGGAAGGGTACTGGACCGGGCTCAAGATGCTGGACCACATGGCAGACGTGCTCGACGTGTTCACAGTTCTCTACCCTGAGCACAAGCCTGTAGGCCTGTTCGACTGGTCGTCCTGTCGTGATTGTATGGAGGCCGGCGCACCGTCGGTGAAGAGAATGAACTTGGGTGTCGGTGGTGTGAGGATCGGAGAAGAGCTTGCGCCGATGGACCCCGTGACCATCCTCGAAGACACCCCGAACCTCCCAGCGGGCAAGATTCAGCACTTGACGTTTCGGAGGGGAGACGCCCCCCCCTTCCACTTCCCGCATCTCCGGCCGGCCGAGTATGTCGGAAAGCTGAAAGGAATGCGGCAGATCTTGTAGGAGAGGGGGCTCCTGGTCAAAGGCCTAAGTAAGACCGGGGGCGCAGGCGAAAAGCAGGACCTCAGCAAGAGCATGGAGCACGTTCTAGGGGAGCAGAAAGACTTCAAGGAAGTTGATTCTAGTCTGGTGCTGTTAATGCAGCGCTAAGGGGGGGCCTGTCTCATGCTTCCTAAGTACCACTGCGAGCGTGACCCCATCGAACTTGTTTGGGGACGGGCGAAGGACTGGACTCGCAAGAATTGCACGTATTCGTTGGAATGTTTGCGCAATATCGTGCCGCTAAGTTTTAGAGCAGAGAAGGATAGGCAGGCTGTTCTGGTAGCCCAGGCCTACTGCAAGAAAGCGTACACACACGCCCTCATGTACCGCGAGACGCGTGTGGAAGGGCCTGAAGGCAAGAAGACGTACAAGAAATACAAGTCACACAAGCGCCCGACCCCGAAGGAATAGAGGCAGTAGATGGATGGCGCATTTTTGTTCGTTGAGGTGAACTCTTTCAGGTTTTTCCCCATGTTTTCTGGAGGGAATGTTGTACAAAAAGGGGATGTTTTGTTGAAAGTAGGCAATATTTACAACGGAAGTGCGTTGGCGGGTGATATAAACACGCTATAGGCGCGGCAGAGGCATTTGTGAAGTGGTTGGGGGTCTTCCGGTAAACATGTAGGTGGTTTGGCAAGAAAATAAATATCCCCTGTAAGAACATACCTTGGCGAAAGCTGCTCTAGGGCCTAGGTCGAGGGTTCGAGACCCGCCGAGAGCACTTTTTTCCTTCTTTTTTTCTGGCGACTCGCTACTCTTTTGCGCCTTGCTGCGGGCGTTCCACAACTGTCTCTTTTTTTATTCGATCTCAGTCAAAAGTTATGGAGGGACAACCACAATCGAGTCCTTGACAATTGCCACTTTAGGATAATCTGTCTTGATGTATGGTGTTGGTCGGGTAGATTCCATGTGGCGGCCTTCGAGATACGGCCACGAAAGTTCGAATTGTGCGTGTGAACGTTATTTGGTTGTGGCTTGTGGAGACGCCATTCTAGGTTTCTCGCGATCAAGCCTACTTTTTTCACGCGCAGTCGTAGAAGCATGCCAACGAAGTTTTGTTGGGAAGAAGTGTTTTCACTACATCATTGGACTAGCCGAATAGGCTGTGTAGATGCTTGTGTGGATGAGATCGTTTCTGCGAGATTGAAACGACGTTGTCACCTGAACTCAATTATTCCGTATCGCCAGCGGCTTCGAAAGGGCAGTCCCAAGCCACTTTGGTTGTAAAGAAGGCCGAAGAAGATATGCGACTTTTCCGCAAAAGAACCTAAGCTTTTGCTCGAAACTGACAGGAACGGCGGACGGTGGCAGCTCAACTACCTAGCCACGAACACGACGTACCTTCCCAGCCACGAACATACTAGAACACTCCGGGATCACCAACAAAGTAGTACCGACACTGACTGTCTCATCTTTTTTCTAAGGAACAACGTTTCAAGAGAGCCAAAAGTGTTACCATCTGTAGGAGTACAACGTCGAGCAGGAACGAACCACACCTCACACACGTAAATCAACGACGCAATCGCACCTACGGAAAACAAAAAACACGACACGTTTCTCCAGCATTCTCAGCATTTTGAAACGAAAGGAGGGGGGGGGGGTACTCATAGTCTTGCATGCCGTAGTCGTTAGACCATTGACCTCGCATCCCTACAAAGCCGGGACGGAGCACGCCGGGTTTTCACCGGACCAGGCTCTCACATCACCAAGCGCGAAGCGCCGTGAGATATTCGGCGAGTCGCATAAAGGGTGCGCTGCATCCTGCTCAGGGTGTTCGGCATCTTGTGCTTACTTCCTTGCGTACGAATGACAGCTGCGTATGACATAATTTATTTTCTGGTGCTTTCACTTCCAGAGACAGTTGTAAGCACTGTGTAACTGCCTCGAGGGTGCTTGACCATTTTAACACAACGTGGTGCGATCAT